AGAGAGAGAGAGAGAGAGAGAGAGAGAGAGAGAGAGAATGAGAGCAGCGGTCTGTCAACTTTGACACGCGCGTGCTTTGTTTGCGACGCGCAGAGTGCTCGCGCGCGCGGCCACTGAGCCGCGTTCTCAGAGAGCGTCATCAGCGCACTTCACGACCAGATGACACGTTTTGGAACGGTTCCTGGCAACAGCACACACTAGCTCTCTCTCTCTTTCATCTTCTGTGTCGTCTACTGCTGTTGCTGCTGTTGCACGAGCAGCGGCGGCGGCGACGGCAGCAGCTCGCCTGGCTGGTTGGATGGCTGACTGGCTGGGCCACAAATTGCCAATCAGCAGTGCAGGCACTCGCGCCAGATATACTCCGATGGCTCGGATGGCCCGATCCGCCATCACCCAAAACATACAAGAAGCAGCAGCAGTCAGTGAATGAATGCCGAAGATCGAACGCACTCTCTCAAACGCACACACAGGGAGACTGCCAGTAGGATCCACTTGGGACTTGGCCAAACTGAAGTGGAGTGCTGCCTCGCAAAAGGAGATAGTAAAAATACTGCGGGGAACTCGAAAAGGGTGGCTGATAAATTGGATGCTGCTGAAGTAGAGATGAAACAATAACGGTGTCGTCGTCGAGCTCTTTTTCCAATTGTTGTGCCAGAGTATTTGTCGTGTCTTTGTAAATGTGTGCGTTTTTGGATGACTCACCTGATTCTTAGAAGTGACGGCGATGAGAGTGGAAATGACGATTGATGCTGATGGTGCTCCAATCAAGTGAGGTGCTGGTAGTGGTGGTCGTCGTCGTCGTCGTTTCGCCGGTGTTTGCTCATGGTTTACTGAGAAAAATCTAAGAGCTTCCCTTGAAGAATTTCAATTTCGAAGTGTTGAGGTGAAATATGCAGAAAATGCTCAAAGCAAAATGGAACTGATAGTGATGCTGCACACTGTTGTTGTCATCCAAATCGAAAATGAAAACGAAAATGAAAGTGGCACACAAGTACAAAGTGTGTGTACTTTAGAAGTACTGATGATGATCGAAGTGATGGCAGCAGACTTGGAATGAAGAAAGAGAAGTTCTTCTCTCGGTCAAAGGCGAATACCGTCGTCGTCGTCGTCGGCGCCGCACTTTTCACCACACTCTTACGGAATGTTGACGCCGAATGAAAGAGTGAGTGTGTCAGTGAGAGTGCTGGTCGCTTCCTCGCCGTGGTGTCTGTTTGCGAAGACACAGCACCACCATCACCACCAGTGCACCACTTCGCTGATGAGAGAACCTCACTGAATGAGCCGTGCCAGGGAGAAAGAGAGAGAATTGGCGGACAAGGGCGCCCGTCTACTAAACAGCATGTGTGTGTGTGTGCAGCATTGGAAGAAGCGAGCCCGTCGTCTCACCCGACACACACAGTACCCGTCCTTATCTGACACTCCTCCACGCGGGTACAGTGGCCAATCAGAGAGGGCGGCCATTCAGACTGACTGTCTCTCTCTCTTTCTCTGAGGGCGAACGCATGTGGACGCCGCGGTGCCGTCGAACTGTGAATGGTAACCCAGCAGAAAGAGAGAAAGAGAACCGAGATACCGAGCCAGAGTGTGCCGTATCGGTGTTATCGTTTGCAGAGCCACTTTGGATCGCCTGCCGACCTCTGGCGAGGCAGCAGCCGACCATATTCAGTGTTTATTACATCATTACAACTGCAAAAGGAGAGAGCACTACTACCTGTCGTACACCAAAGGGTCGCTAGAGTCGATTGAACTGGGAAGAGGTCTTACTGTTTCTGTTATTTTGCTGTTTACTGGTTCACCTTTGTCAGGAGAATGTCAATGGGCTGCTGGAAGTTGTACAGCAGCGGCGCTCGCAGGATGATCAGACAGGCGCCGCCGATGCAAAAGATGGTGAAGATCCAGAGGAAAAGACGATCGAGGACCATGGCGACGTACTTCCAGTCCTCCTCCACCGCCAGGTAGCTGTCCAAGTTCTTCTTATGGTGCGAGAGAAACTGTATGCGGGTGGTCAGCTTGCGCAGCTCATCGCCAATCTGTCCCATCGAGGCCTGTGAGTCGTAGGAGCTGCCACCGTTGACAACAACGCCGTTGTTATCCTCACTGGTCACCTCGTGATCCGGCAGCTGATGGTGGTGATGGTGGTGTTGAAGAGGATGCTGGTGGTGAATGTGAGGGTGGTGATGGTGGTGGTGATGGGGATGATCACCGGCCATGTACTGCCCAACACCACTTCCCGAGGCCTCCATTTCGTCTTCTTCTTCGCAGGATTTCATCATCTCGGCGACGTACTCCGCCGAGTCCATTGAGTTGAAGCTGCACCGACGGCAGTGAAGGCCATTGCCGTTTGAGGTTGATCTCATGTTGATCAGTTGATTCTCAAAGTTGCACGAGTACTGGTCCTGCGCCGAGTCGAGCAGTTGGTGCTGGTCGCCCTGCTCGTTCTCCGTCTCATCCTCATCGTCGTCAATCTTAGGCCGCACCATAAAGAGGTACTTGGGGAGGAAATTAATAAAGACAGCTCGAATGAAGGGCGCCATTCGGTGGGTGGCTGGTGAGCGATAATTAATATTTTCCACGGCAATGGTCGCCACAATGGAGAAGGTGATGAGCGTCATGGTGAAGAGAAGGTACTTGCCCAGCAGGGGCACCGCTAGACTGGTCGGCGGGATGATCTCCGCGAGAAGGAGGAAGAACACCACCAGCGACAACATAATTGAGATAGACAGACTCACCTGCAAAAAAAAGAAACAAATGTGTTGTGATGATGAAAGGTAAACAAAAACTCAATCCTTGAACTGACCTTTTCGCCACTGTCCGAGGGCAGGTAGAAAACGAGAATGGAAAGAAATGATATGGCCACGCAGGGAATGATCAGATTGAAGGTGTAGAAGAGCGTCTTTCGGCGGAGGGTAATGTTGAAGGTGATGTCGATAAAGGGCTCAATGCAGCAGTTGTAGAAAATGGCCTTCCGCTTCGCCGGCACCGCCATGATGTCCCACTCTACGCTCAGGTAGAAGGCGCTCAGGTCCATGCCCATCGGTATCACCGGCTCGTCGTCTTTCTCGTTCTTGTGGCGCAGGTCGATGGTATAACCGTCGTAGCTAGAATGAGTAAAGTATGAGAAAAGAAGTAAAAACCAAGACAAAACAACTACTCACGTCCAACTGCCAAACTTCATTGTGCAAGTCTGCTCGTCAAAGGGAAAGTACTCAATGTCAATTTCGCAGGAGCTTTTGTAGATTGCCGGCGGTTTCTAAAAATGTGGCATCATTTAGTTGAATTCCGTTTTTGTGAAAAAACCACTATCATACCCAAATAACATGTCCATCATGGTGGAGAATGGCTGAATGAAAGAAAGATGACATTCAACAAACTGATCGACTGTGATATGGCCAGCATGCACCATAAAGTACCTTTTGTGAGAATGGTAATTTCGTAGTTGCCATCGGCGTTGTTGTAGAGCACCAGATCTAACAGATGATAAGTTCAGATAAGGAAACAAACAAAAGATTCCCACTAACCAGGCAGCCAAATCTGCTCCGCTGGAACGTGCAATTTGGTCACTCCGCCGTACTCGTCTGGTTCCCACTTGAGCTTGTAGTCGATCCACTCCTGTTCGACCCACATGTTCGTCGTCATGATTTGATTCTTCAGGTTCTGTTTGGCGAGTTTTATGAAAGGTGTGAGAGCATAATCGCAACATAAACAGTCAGTAGCGCCACTTACCACATCAATCAGCTGTGAAAGTCGCAGTGCCATCTTGACGATCACAATATCTGAGTTGTTGCCCTGATGATCAGTGCTGATTAGTTTTCCACCATCCATTTTGATCTCATCCACTTACCACCGGCCGAATCATGCTATTGTACCCGTTGAGAAGGTCATCGTAGAGACGCTTAGCCTGCAAAAAGAAAAAATCGGTTACAGAAGCCATTTGGATTGCCAGCAGAAACATCCTACATCAGGATTGGCGTAGCCAATGTTCGACACCAGCTGGAGGATGAAGATAATTGAGCAAATGATCAGTGAGGAGGACATGCTGGAAACAGCCCGTAGCCCTCTCTGGTTGAGCAGTATTGATGTGTCTTCTTGGAGATGATGCCTCACTCCAATCAGTGCAGCGAACTCGGGCACCTCTGGAGCTGAGCCAGTGTCAGGCTGTGTCCACTGCAATTCTTTGCAGCATTGAGCATGTCTTTCTCCATCTCCTCCTTCACATTTCTGTTCACCCGGGTTCATCCGAATGCGAGTGATAGCAGTGCGCATCACTTTGCTATAGCAGCAGCAGCACTTTCTATCCCGGATCGATCCACTGGAAGAAAAGCACTGGAAGCATTGCTGTGCGCTGAAATTGAATTGCTGCAGTGCATATGAAGAGACTGAGAAAAAGAAAAACTGTATCCAAGTTTCTGTCACTTCTTTCTCGTTGAATCTGTCAAAGTCGACTGCTGTTAAATGCCTGCACAACAATGCACTGAAACAGCGTCTTTCCGGTGTGCCCGGTTGAACTTCTTAATCTAAGCCGATTGGCGTGTACGAATTTATTTTTTGATTATCACAAAATGCTCAATTTCTCCTCTAGCCCTTTTCTGTGGGCACTTTCTCTGCTTTTGCTGGCATCTCAATCAGTCGTTGTGCAGGGTAATCCCGATGCCAAGCGCCTCTACGATGACTTGATGTCTAGGTAAGTGAAGGTAAAGTTGTAGAATGACCTATACTGATTGGGCAAACCGTTTTCTCCTAAACAACAGCTACAACAAACTGGTTCGGCCAGTGCAGAATAATTCGTAAGTGTTTTGACACCAGTTTTGTTATTCAAACTATTTAGCAGTTTTTTTAATCTTCAGAGAAAAGCTCACTGTCAAGTTGGGCATCAAGCTCACTCAGCTGATAGATGTTGTAAGTTTTTGAAGGTAGCATTCTCATCACTTAAAATAATAACCTTTTTTTGAACACTACAGAACTTGAAGAATCAAATCATGAGCACAAACATGTGGGTGATCCAGGAGTGGACTGACTACAAGCTCAAGTGGGACCCGGAGGAGTACGGCGGTGTCTCGGAGTTGTACGTGCCTGCAGAGCAGATATGGCTGCCTGGTAAGCTAAACAAGTTCTTGGTTTTTATTTAAAATCAAATCAATTTGTGTCTAAATCAGACCTGGTACTGTACAACAATGCCGACGGCAACTACGAGATTGTCATCATGACAAAGGCCATCGTCGTAAGTGTACTTCCGATTTTTCTATTTGATCTCCTACTCATCCTTTCTAAATTTAGCACTTTGACGGCCGCGTCGAGTGGAACCCGCCCTCCATCTACAAGAGCTCCTGTCACATCGACATCACCTACTTTCCCTTCGACTACCAGGAGTGCAAGATGAAGTTCGGCAGCTGGACGTACGACGGCGGCAAGGTCGACCTGCTCTACCTGACCTACCCGAACATCACCGACGAGAAGGTAGTGGAAGAGGGCATGGACCTCAGCGAGTTCTACCTCAACGTCGAGTGGGACATCATGGCGGTGCCCGCCCAGCGGCACATAATCAAGTACGTCTGCTGCGAGGAGATCTACATCGACATCACCTACAACATTACCATGCGCCGGAAAACGCTCTTCTACACCGTCAACCTCATCGTGCCCTGCGTCGGCATCTCGGTCCTCTCAGTGCTCGTCTTCTACCTGCCCTCGGACAGTGGCGAGAAGGTGAGAAGAGGAGGATTTGATTTGATTAGAACACAACTAACTTCTTTTCATCCTGCTAGGTGACCCTTTCCGTGTCCATTCTCCTGTCGCTGACCTTCTTCTTCCTCGTGCTGATCGAGATGATACCGGCCACGTCGCTGGTCATTCCCCTGCTCGGCAAGTACCTCATCTTCACGATGTGTCTGGTCACCCTGTCGGTGATTGTCACCATCATAGTGCTCAACATTCACTTTCGCTCACCTTCCACGCACAAGATGGTAAAACTTTAAAGTTTTTCCTTTTATCTTCCTAATCTTTTGTCAATTCAACCCTCAGGCTCCCTGGGTGCGAAAGTTCTTCATCCACCGACTGCCCAAGTGGCTGTTCATGAAGCCGCCGCAGTACGATCTCGACCTGGAGATTGACCGCAGACGTAATCAAACTTGACACTTGTGTTTTTCCCAGCAGTTAATCAACCTTTTTATTATATCCGATCAGTTCTGAAGAAGAGCAACAAAAAGAATAAACGAAACAAGAACGGAGGCAACAACGCCCACAACAATGGCCACCAGATGCCAGTCGGTGATCCGCTGATGCTCTCCGGCGAGGGAAAGTCCTCATTTGAAATTGAGCCGCAGTTTTGCTATCCTCGGAAGATTGACGAAATCGTCAAGAGCGCCAAGTTCATTGCCCTTCATATCGGTGAGTGGTGCGACACAACAGCAATTAAAAGTTAACCACCTTCTTTTTTTCTATTTTCACAGACAATTCGGATGACTACAAAAGCGTAAGTGTGCTTGAAGATGAGAAACAAAAGCCTTATCAGGTTATCAACAAATTAATCTCCCCTAGATCCAAGACGACTGGAAGTACGTGGCCATGGTCCTCGACCGCCTTTTCCTCTGGATCTTCACGGTGACCTGCGTCGTCGGCACCGTGGGCACCTTTGCCTGGGCGCCCTCCATCTACGACCTAAGTAAGCGTCCTCTTATGTTCTTTTTAGTTTAATAGTTTTCATTTTATTTGGAGTCGATGATCATCTGTTGTCTTCTACAACTGGTTAATAATAATTGATAGTGTTTAAAAGTAGTAGATAAAGTAATAATCAGTAGTCAAGAGAGCTGTTTAGTTAGCGTCAAAGTGTTCATGCACTGTAATAATGATGAGTCCTTTTTCTTCTTTTCCTTCCTCACCACCACAGGAACTCCGCTGGACCAACAGCGATCGGTCATCATTCGAAAGCAGCTGTTCGGAGACGAGTTCTAAGACAGAGAAGGCGGGTGCAGCAGCAGCAGCAGCTCAAGAAAGGCCCAGAAGTTCTGCTGATGAAGGTGTTGAGGAGGTGCATTGTATTTAGTGTGTAGAAGAAAAAAGGAGATAAAGTAGGATGAAGAAAACAATCATGCATCGAAAGAGGGTGTGTGTGTCTTTGTGTGACTGACAAAGGAGAGAAGAATGTAGACGAGGGTGTCAGTTCGGCAAAAAAAAGAGGAAAAAAGTAGTGATGAGGAAAGCAAATGCGATCATTAGAAACGAGAGAAGGTAACATTTGTAGTGTGGTGAATTGTGGTGTATTTGTGAATGTGGGTGGGTGACTGAAGAATCAAGAGAAGAAGAGCAGGTGAGTTACTGTTAGTTGTTTGAGTGAGAATGAGTGTGATTGCCGCCCCCTATTTACAGAGGGTGACGAATAAAGGGGTGATCAATTCATTCAGCGAGAATTCAGAGTGCAATATATTGGCGAAAATAAGGAGGATGAAGTGTGTTCAAAAATTAAAAGTTTGGTTTTTCCTGCACTGCGCGAGTTGTGGTGGGTGGGTGTGGGTCATCAGTAAAGCCAATATATGAGACTGAATGCCACACCCCCTAATGTTTCCGCACTCAGTTCTCCTCCTCTTCGGCAATTTCATCCTCAATGTCATTGGAGTCGTCCGCCTCGTAGCGCTTGCCATTGGTTCGAATGGGCGACTGGTCGCCGCCGTCGCTGACCGAGCCCGAACGGGAGCGGGAACGCGAGTGGGAACGAGAACGAGAGCGTGAGCCCTTGCCGCCCTCATCCTCTGACCCGTCGTTCATGTACTCGTCCTTTGTCGTCTCGTTGTTGTTCTTCTCCTCCTCCTCTGACTTGACGCTGCGACGGTCCTGCGAGGCGACGCTGGCGGAGCGGGCACTTTCCCGGTCTTCACTGCGGCGATTAGGAGAGTGCTGCTGAGGACTGCTGCCCTTTCGCTCCGAGGAGGGACTCTGGCTTTTGGAGTGCGACCGGGCACGATCGCTGGGACTTCGGCTGCGCGCCTCAGCGCCACGGTCGTTGGCTTCGCTGCGGTTTGAAGACTTGCTGCGGCTGCGGCTCTTCGAGCGCGAGCTGGCCCGGTCACTAGGCGTTCTGCTGTGGCTGCGTCGGGCTTTGGGGCTGCGAGAACGGCTTCGGCTACGGCTGGGACTTCGACTGGCGCGACGAGCACGTTGGCGTTCGCGTTCTCTGCAAAAATAAATAATTAGTTAGAGTACAAGATAGAGCAAATAAAGTAGAAAGGTGAGACACGTACCTTCGGCCGCCACGACGGCGCTCCGCTCTCCTGCGACTGCTCGGCCGCGCGTACTTGGCCATCTGAATGCTGAGGACACGGCCGTCTAGGCGTTCCCCGTCCAGCTTACGCATCGCCTCCTCTGCATCTCGCTTGCGAAAGTAGCGCACAAAGGCAAAGCCGCGAGTCATGTACGAGTCAGGATACCGCGGCACGTAAATGTCACCGAGGTTGCCGTATCTAGAAAACAAGCGTTTCAACTGACTGACGGTGGTTCTGTGGGTGATATTGTCGACTTTAAGCGACACCATACCCTCAATGCGAGGAGGGCCCTGTCCTTGCGTACTGAACTCGTTCTTATCGCCGCCGGCCTCATTGCGCGAGCTGCGCTTTGAGCGGCCACCGCGGAAGCGCTCTCGGCTCGGCTCTCGACGGCCCTTATCATAGCTCCGACTGCGGCTCCGGCGGGCGCGATCGCGACTGCGCTGCCGAGGACGACGCGCCTTACGGTCGCGGCTTCGGTCCCTACTGCGATCTCGACTACGGCTCCGAGCGCCTCGGTCTCGCTCTCGGTGACGACTCGGCTCGCGGCTGTGGCTCCGGTCAGGTGTTCTTATCGCCGGACTAGACATTATTGTAATGGATGTCGGTCTTTAGGGATAATGTGCTCAAACAAATAGAACTACCCAAATAATCAAGCAATTACTCAACGTAGAGAGAGGGAGTGAGTGGGTGACTGAGAGAGAGGACGATCAGTGGGGCACGGCAAGATCAGGAGAGAGAGAACGTGAATCGGGTGTCACAGCAGAACAGCACTGGAACTCGATGGTTTGCGATGTTTGTTATCCGGAGGTGAATGTGCAGCAGCAGCAGCTGATGAAGAAAGCAGCGTGGTGTTGGCGGTAGCTACGGTTCTCTTTGATGACAGCACAGCAGTCGATGGGCAGAATGTTTCGTTGACAACAACAGCAGATGATGATGATGATGATGATGCGGTGAATGTACGGTGGATGACACTGGACAGTGATGCAAACAGAAGGGTCAGCGCGTCCTGTGAAACTGAACGATGCAACCAAAGCGTAAGTGAAAGTGTGATAGCAGTGTTGTGCTTGTGTGTGTTGTGGTGGTGGTAAAGGTGACGGTGATTACCGAAAAAAAGAGAAAGTTGTTGAGTAAAACACAGCGGACAGCTGCGATGCGAGAGTTCAACTGGCAGGCCAATGCTGTCCCTCTAGGCCGGCGGTGGTGATGGTGATGGCGGCCGTGGCTGCGGCGGTGGTGGTGGTGGGACGATGGTGGTGATATTTCTCTGAGGATTCAGGCAGGCCAGTGCTCTTCAGTAAACGGCGCGCGCGGATACCTTGCTGCTGGCTCGCTGCTGCTGCTGCTGCTGCTGCTGTCCACCGCGGCCTCGTGTTGCTTTGTCCTGCCGAAGGCGTGCTGCAAGATGTACCCTCCAGCCTGCTAGACGGTGCTGCCCTCTCCAACGCTGTCAAGGCAGGCTTTCGGCGCGTTCTGAGTGGCTAATGCACCGTCTCTAATCACAATGGAGAGCGCCGGCGCGCGTGGAGTCAGCCTAAGACCGCCTTCACAGAGGACGGTTTCTTTTGGTTGGAATAAGAAGAACTTTTGAGCGCCTTTTTAGATAAGCAGAAGAAAAAGGTGCAAACAATGGCCTCCTACATGCTCTCGAGGCAGCTTTGTGCGACTTTTCAGGCTGAAGGTCTCCTCTTGGAGGATGATGCCGATTCGAGGCGCCACCGAACTCCGAATGTCTATGATATTTTCCGCTTAAATTACCCAGAGCTGCATGAGTTGGCAGTAAAGAAAAATGTGTCCTTTGAAGTAAGAGTTTCTTTTTGTCCGTTGAGGTCATCCTTCTAACTGATGTTCTTTTTTTAATCTACATAGAATCTGATAAAGCTTCGAGAGGAACTTTTTCAGAAATTGGTGGGTGAGGGTGTTTTCCTGTACAATGTGACGAGCAAAGGCCGTGGAACAGTGGCGCTTCGTTGCGGCTCTCCCAGGTGAGCGAATCTGTCAACAACAGATGTCAACAAAAGCTTGTTTTGCCTTTGCTAATCACAAATTTGTTGACTTTAGATTAAACGAGCTTCTGGAATTGATACCCTGGATTAGGACGGTCGATGTTTGCGGTCCAAGCGACAGCGGCAAGTCCCATCTGGCGTGCTCGCTCGCCTTTCAGAGCGCCCTCGCCGGGACGCACGTCTTCTTCATCGACACCGATCTCTCCTTCTGCTGGCGAGAGAAGTTTGCCGAAGTGTTCCAGTGCAGCCGCATCCTTTCCCACCTAACGGTGTTTCCTATTTTCAAATTCGAGAAGCTGATAGCCTTCCTGGAAGACTTTCCACGCCGTGAACACGCTCAAAACTCAGTGCTGATCATCGATTCGCTGGACACCATTCTCCACGCTGACCGGGGCAACTACGTCCGAATGACCTACAAGCAGAAGAAGTTCACCAAAGAGGCCATCGCCTGGCAGTTCTTTGAGGCACTCAAGTGCGCCACCAGTTCCACTTGCTCCGTCGGCGTCTTCACTCGTGCCACCGTCGAGGAGAACAAACATCTGGAGGAGGTCTTCTGCGAAGCGAACCTCAAACTGGAGCTAAGCAAAGAGGAAGAGAGCAGTACAGTTAGGGTGGACATCATCAATCGCACCTGCGACCGGCTAGTCAATGCTCCCACTGTGATCACCATTGAAATGGACGAACTCATACGCCAAAACTGTCCCCCAAGCTAGCATGGAACAGTCATCTGCATAGTATATAGTGATCTTATAACGACGTGATTTAATTTCCATAACAACAACGATTAAACGAGCTTATTTTTAAGATACTGCAGAACTTGAGCGGTGGACTCCTTATTCTGAGACATCTCCTTGGTTACTATTTTCAGCAGCACTTTCTGCTTTTCACGCTTCACCTTTAGACCGCAGTGCAGCAGAAGGGTCAAGTCAGACTTGCAAATATCAAAGGCTGACTTTTGCTTTTTGGCGTCTTCGTTTTCGGTCTGGGCTGAAGTCTCAGTCTCCATAGACTCCATCTCGACGTCTTCTTCGTCAAGTGTTCTTTTAGGCGTCGGGCAGCAGGCGGTTTGTGGTTCGCCTGATGGCTGAAGATTCGTGCCCTCCACCTCCTTGATTCCTTTGTTCTGCCGTCGTTTCTTTCGCTGATTACTCCAAGTGTTGGTGTTTGCTTTAATATCAAACTCGACCCGTTTCTTCGCTCCAATCATCGAGAAGGTGCTAATCTGCAGATCATTCAGGAGGAGGTTCTGAATGTACTCGGCAATGGCCTTCATTTCGTAATCGCAGCACTGAATGCTCGAGGGAATGTAGTACAGCAGTGGCTTTGCCTTGATGCACGAGACATGAAACGCCTTCGACAGTTGAATGGACCGGCAGAAGGTCCAAGCAAGCGCCCACCTCTTGGTGTTACCTTGGCACAGTTCAGTTTTGGCAAAGGAGGCAATCACACTTTGGTCTTGGTACTCCTTTAGCATCTGCTTGACGTCGAGAAAACTCTTCCGTCGACCGAACATGACAGTGTAGATGCTGATTCGGTCTTTCACCTCTAAGCTCTCATCGATGATTTGCTTCACAAAGGCAAATTCTCCGCCCTCTACGACGGCTTCATTTGCACTTGAAGAGCACACTTTGCGAGAGTGAAAGTTTGAGTTGGAATCTTTCTTGTGGTCCGCTTCAAATGAGTCATTGTACTCGTCAGAGAAGAACGGCGGATTGGTCATGATAAAGTGCACTTTCTGGTCTTTTAACGAATCACGCAACAGATGAGAAAACATGCTATCTTTTGAACCAGGGAGCACTGTGCAAAATGAACAAATGTTAGCAAGTTGAAAAAGGGTCAGAACTTAAAAAAACTTACATTTTATTCGATCAGATAACCCATTCGCGTCAATGTTCTGCTTGGAAAAGGACAAATTCTTTTCATCAATGTCCGTTGCGACAAAGCTCCATCGCTTATTTAATGTGACGCCGAGCAGGGGAAAGACGGCACAGCACCCGGTGCCAATGTCAATTCCAGTGATGATCTCCTCATCACCGCAGTTGGGCACCGTTTGCAGCAAATCCTCCACCCAGAGGAGGTAGTTGAGTCGCATCGGCAACGTCGGCACCAGGCGATCTTCAGGTATGGTCACCGTCAGGCCAAAGTCATTCTTCAGCAAAGTAGTGGTCAGGGCGCGAAGTGCCTTCGGATCGGCGTAGTTTATCGTCGGTCGCCTACCGGCTTCATCGTGCAGGAGGACGGCGCCAAACTCTGGGTACGCCTTGCCCAGCTCTCCGTAGTCGGGCTTTCGACGGTACAGATTGCGCGGGTGCATAAACTGATTGAACGTCATGATTTGCTGGAGATTGATTAAGATTGAGAACTGTCGCCAGGAGATCAAACGGTAAATGCAAAAATGTGTTTGGCAGCAGCAGCCGACCAGAAAATTCAAAACATTGTCCGTCCACAGTGGATGTGCTCGGGCAGCGCCGCCGCTGCTCTCTGTCAGCTGCTTTGTGTGATGAAAGTTCAGTGTGTGTGTGTGCCGGCACTCCATTTGAATGTTTACCCTTTCCCGATTATAATTTTCCGGTTTTTGAAACGCCTAATTACCGCCCGCTTCAATGCCCAAGTAAGTTTTGTGCTGCGTGTAAACTATGGCCAATCAGTTTAACATTTTTCCTTTTCAGATACTACTGTGACTACTGTGACACCTTCCTCACGCACGATTCTGTAAGTGTGATTGAAGTGCTTTCTTTTTCCATCTTGTTCACCATTTCTATTTCACAGCCTTCTGTTCGCAAGACCCATTGTAATGGCCGGAAACACAAGGAGAATGTGCGGTTCTACTACCAGAAGTGGATGGAAGAGCAGGCACAGAATCTAATTGATGCTACCAGTAAGTTGATTTGTGATTACATCACATTTTCCACTTTCTAAACTTCTTTTTTGTTGCCCAGCCGCTGCATTCAAAGCCAACAAGGCGCTGGCACCATCTCCGTTTGGAGGCTTAAAACCGCCGATTCCAGGAATGCCGCCAGTCCTTCCACCAGGGGTCCGCTTTCCCCCCGGTGCACCGCCGATGGCCCTTCATGGACGCCTGCCGCTGATGCCGCCTGGAATGCCCAATGTTCCACCACCACCCGGAGGACTTCCTCTGCCACCGGGGATGGTTCCCATGCCGCCAGGAGGAGCGGTGCCAGGGATGCCGCTTCCAGGCCCGCCGCCAGGAATGATGTCCATGCTGCACGGCCTTCGCCCACCGCCGGCGGGCGCTCCGGGAATGCCCCCACCTCCAGGAATGATGCCACCGCCACCAGGACAAGGAGGAATGCCTCCGCAGCCACCGGGATCGTTCTCCATTCCCATGCCCCCACCGCCGCCCAATCTGTACCCGCCCGAAGCCAACTACGAAATGAATTAATCATCGGAAATGACTAATAATATTCCAACTCTGATTCTGTGCTTAGAGCAACAATAATTCTTTTTTCCGTCGTCCTCATTTCTTTCTCGCTAACTGTCATTCTGAATTCTTCCCGCACTTCATCTTCTGTCAAAATCATTTTCGCATTAAATAAAAAAGTAAAAATGCCCATTCTCTACCTCGCCACCAGACAGTGAGAGGGCACTACCTGCCTGCCTCACCGAGCGAATGTCATCCGTGAACAGCTGAGCTCGCGAGTGCAAATTGTGCGATTGTGTTGGCGTGCCTTTCTCCTATCTTTTTCGATACGCATCTCTTTTTGGTGATAACACCAGTGATTGACCAGGTGGCAGCCAGAAGAAGTTGATGAAGTTTCCGTCTGACTGTACAAGGAAAACCGATTGAAGCTGAAGAAGGAGGGCGAAGAAGACCTTAAGTCAGCAATTTTGCCCCGAGGGCGCCACATAGATTTGTAGCGTGTCACATCGGTGGAGCGTGAGCAGAACGGGCGAGCACTGATGAGCTTCAATCCAAAAGTTAGTTAAGTAGCTGGCCACTGAAGCAGATGAGGGGCAGATGCTTCGAGGTGCCAACACTTCAACACACTGTTGGTTGAGCCCTTGTTGTCCTTCTGATTTACTCTCTTTCGCTCTCTCTTTGATTTGACCACCTCATCTGAGCTTCAGGGAGCCTGAGCCCTCCCTCCATTTCTCTTCTCTTTCTTCACCAAATCGGAGAAGAAATCGAAGCCTTCCTTTTCGAAGTCACCCGCCTACCTACAGAAGTCTCCTCCTTTTCAAGCCTCAGCATGGCTTCTTGCGGTGGCTACAACCTTCGACTTGCCTCAGTCCCCGTGACCACCATCACCCCGTCCCTGACATGCTCTTCCATGGGGAACACCCCACACATCCCCAATGGCTCTTGCACTTCTATTTCTACCAGTGCTTCACTGGGGAACCTCCCCTCCAAGGAGCTCAAGGTGGACAAGCGTACGCTGGACATCATGCAGAATGGTATACTACTAAGATGTTTCTTGCTGTTTTGTGGCTGTACCTTCTCAAACATTCCAGTCGTTTCTATTTTTGTTTGTTTACCTCTTCTTTTACTTACTCGATGTTTTTTGCTCTCGCTCTTTTCACTCTCCTTTCAGGTGGAAACAGCACCATTGAGTCTTGGAAATCGTTTGAAAGCAGAGTGAAAAGCGTGGCTCAAGTGAGAATCAACTGTGAATATTACGCCAAGGACCGACAAGGAAAGGCAATTCCCATCCTCAGAGTGGAAAGCACCAGCAACAAGGACCTCGAGAAGGCATGTGCCCTGATCATGGCCGTGCTGGATCCGCACCGCGACAAGATGACCTTCAACATCGATGTGCCCCACACCGACCATTCGTACATTATCGGCAAGGACGGCTCTCGCATTAAGCTGCTGTCCAACGAGACCAAGTGTCACATTCACCTTCCCGACTGTAACAAGACCGACCAGGCGGCCAAGTCGAATAAACTCTCCATTGCCGGCACCAGCTTTGAGGCGATTGAGAAGGCTCGCAGTCAGATTCGCAAGTCACTGCCTCTCAATATTCGATTCAAGGCAAAGGTGGAGAACAGCAAGTTTATGCTCATTGACACGTCAACTTCGGAGGTGCAGGCAATCAAGCGCAGGTACCACGTTGATGTCACCTTCACCGACGTGAACTCCTTCCAGAAGTACACTGAGGTGACCATCAACGTCAAGGGCGGACGCTCGCAGTCGGGCGACATTAAGAACGCCGCCCAGGAGCTCTACCAGTTCGTCACCGGCGAGGACATGTACGCCAATCGCAAGCTTGTCTTTAGCATATCAATTGACATTAGCCACGCTCACCACCAGTTTGTGAAGGGCAAGGGCAACTGCAATATGAACTGCATCAAAAGTCGAAACAACTCGAACATCATCTTTCCGGACAGTCCCAATGTGAACAAGGTGATCGTCGAGAACACCGACATTGGCTCCACCGTCTTTGGCTGGCAGGAGCTGATGGGTTACCTGCCCCTGCTGCTCTCCTTTGACGTCAACTTTGACATTACCAAGTACAAGGACGAGGTGGATCGCATTGAGAAGGAGGAGAGCGTCGGCATTCGCCTCCGCGAGAAACTGTGCGGCCACGTGTACACGGTTCTCGTGAAGACGCAGGAGCGCAACTCCCTTCGTCTGAAGGAGATTCGCCAGCAAATTTTGGACATCAATCCAAACTCGAGCTCAGCAGTCAGCCCGCCAGTCAGTCGTACCGGCTGCAAGAGAGACCGTTTCAACCTCTTCGCGAAGCCCTTTACCCCGTGCAAAGCCAGTGCCAGCTTCATCCACCACAATGCCAGCCACAGCTACTCTAACTACTACACTAGCATCATCAACAACAACAACAACAACTTCTCCACCAGCAATCTCAACACCACCTACAATCCCGATCTCACCTTTTCAAGCAAGGGAATGACTCTGGACTATGACTCGGGTATCGGTCCTAGTCCTCCCCGCTCAGACCACTGCACCACCTACGATTACAGCTTCGATTCTCGATTTTTAGGCAGCAACACCTCCAGCGCTCCGCTGTCAAACCTTACCAACAACTACAAATGGCTGACCTAAAAATGAGTGCCACAAGTGACCACCTGCATATCAACTGCTTTGCTAGTCCTCCTCTTTTTTCTACCTCCCCCCAACTTGTAGATGGCCACAAAACCACTTACAACTTTGAAAGCCACCCCGCCTCTTCCCCTCTCTTTCTCGCACTCGCAAATCTTTTTTACTCTTTTTAATCTTTATATATAGAAATCTCCCCCTTTCTCCCCCCCTCTCTCTCTCTACTGTTTCCCCTTTCCAATCCAACTTTCAATTTTATTTGCCAAATCCCCGAGACCGATGCATTATATGGATTTCCGTTTTGAGTTTTGTAACGCTTTTCAAAATTGTTGTTTGCAAAAGGCAAAACTAAGTTGTCCATAGTCACTTTCTCCCTTTTACTGTTATTATTATTGTTAACCTCTACCGCAAACAACTTTTGATAAACTGCGGCCGACCGTGTGTTCGACAAAGACTGAGACCTTCTGTTGCTGCTACTGACCTATCTCCATCCATCTAACCTACTTACTCCTACTACCTCTGTAATCTCACACTCATACTCATCTTAATCACCTACTCACGAGTGCTCAAGTCACAACTATTTTAATGTAAAGACGCATTGACAAATAAACAATTGAATTTCCGATTTATGATTTGATGATTTGGATAACAACAGCAACACGTATGGTATTATAAAGACGTACACGTTTTGAAAAAGATGATGGTTCCTAGGACGAGTGAAGCAAGAAAGAGCCTCAGAGAGGACTAGACAGCTGCGAGAGTGGTGGTGGAGAAAGTTTCGTCGCCTCTGTTGAAAGTGGCTTGGCTGTAGGCAAGGTAGGTAAGATAGATTGAGGGGTGAGGCACTGAAAAGGGAAAGAAAGGAAGAAAGAGAAAGGGAGTACACATTCGTAATGAGATAAATGACACTGGTGGTGGCGTAGGGACAAAAGTGTGGAAGATGATGTGAAGTACTCGCACTGGTTTGGGTTGTATCTGCGCTTCCTGTGCAGCAAAAAAGCAATTGGCAATGCTCGCCCAAGCAGGGCAAATGCGCGGCAAGTGAGCCCGGACGCCATCAAAAGTTGACATTGTTCAGGGCGGCTTCGTTTCCCGTTCGGTGCTGGTACCGAGGTTGCTGCTGCTGGNCGGAAGCCATCAAAAGTTGACATTGTTCATGGCAGCTTCGTTTCCGGTTCGGTGCTGATATCGAGGTTGCTGCTGCTGATTGGCCATCATCGCTGACATGTGATGTGTTGGCTTTCTTGGCGATCGACCGTAGGTGTGTCGGTGCGCCGTCGGCCCGTCGTACTTGTTCATCTCCTCGAGGACGCTGGGCGCCACGTAGGTGAAGCCAGCAAAAACCTCGTTGATGCTCCTGCTCAGGTGTGAGGTGTCCTCCGGCGAGTCGATCGGCGTCTGCTGGGTGAACTTCTTGTCAAACTGCGACACGTCCTCCTCGTTGGCCAGATTCGGCTTGAAGGGCGGCTCCAGCTTCTTCGCCAGCACGTCGTCCCAGTTGAGGCCGTTGAAGAAGGCGTGCCTGCGAATGGGCGCCGCATCGTCCGCCCCACCGCCCAGTCGCGTGTCCGGCGATCGTCTGAGCAACTTTGATATCAGATCACGAGCCTCGTAGGTCAGGTATCGGGGAAACTTCAACTCGGAATGAAGAATTTTGGCAATGGTCTTATTTCGATTCGAGCTGACAAAGGGCGGACGTCCCGCCAGCATATCGTAGAACAGCGCTCCCAGTGACCACCAGTCAGCTGCAAAGAGGGAATGCCGTTAGAATCATTTTAAAATATCAGGTGGTGTAAAAAACCTACCAGCATGACTGTGGCCGATACGCTTCAGAATTTCCGGTGCCATGTACTCGACCGTGCCGCAAAAGGTGTAGGTCATTTTGCCTCCGTAGATTGACTCCTTGCAGAGACCAAAGTCAGTCAGCTTGACGTGTCCCTCCTGGTCCAGCATGATATTTTCCGGTTTCAAGTCTCGGTAAATGATTCCCACTTTGTGCAGATGTTCAATGGCGAGAATAATCTCCGAGACGTAGAATATTGCCGCCGTCTCCAGCAGAAGGCCCTCTCGCTCAAGGTACATAAAGAGCTCACCGCCGCTTAGGTACTCGAGAATCAAGTACAGTTTGCCTCTGGTTTGGAAGGCGTATATCAGATCGACGATGAATGGATGCTTGACGCTCTCGAGAATGTTCCGCTCAGCTTTGGTGTGGTCGGTGTCCTTGATGCTGCGCACAATTTTCGCCTTCTTCAGCACCTTCATCGCAAAGATGTTCCCGTTTTGCGTTCCATTACCGGTTCGCTTTTTCACCTGAAACACCTTTCCATAGCCGCCCATGCCGAGCACTCGCAACAGCTCAAAGTCGGTGGTGGAGACACGCTCGTGATGTTGGCAGTTGACCATGTCCTCCGTCAGCTCGATGCAGTTATTCGCCGAACCTGAGTTCATGAGGTCTTCGGCAGTCTGCTCAAAGTTGTCAATCTGAAAAACAAAGCGTTTAAAACTTTGGCTCAAGCAGCAGAATTAAGAAAAATACCTCAATTTCATTGTCTACAACGATAGGTTCGTCCTCGTCCTCTTCAAATTCGTAATCGATGACTTGGCGATCATGAGAAGTACATGCGTTACTGTTGAGCATTGAAGGGTTATCAATCTCCACATCGTTCAGCTCCATATCGAAAATGGTGGCCATCTTGATGCAGTTGAGGTAAGGTACAGAAGCAAAGAATCGATGATTCAGCTAGTGGAAAGTGAGAAAGTGGAAACTTGGTGTGAAACCAAAAATAGCAAGCACAGTGCAGACGAAGATGGCTCAAATTCAGAGCAGCAGAAGCAGCCGAAGCAGCACACTTCAATGCAATGAGGCAATGCGCACCACAGTTGCTTGCTTCAGATGCTAGCCATGTGGCACACCACAGGACGTGGAGTGCACTGCAGCGGACCTGATCACGGACAGTAGATCATCGAGAGCTGGATCAACTGCTGGGGGCGGAGATGCTGGACCACTGGCTTGTTGCTGCTGGTGAATGTTTCGTACAGCAGATACAAATCCGGTAGCGCAAAACGGTGATCACTGGTGGTGGTGGTACACACACTGGTGAGCACTACTGCGCCAGAGTAGATAGCCGATAGATTTGAAGGCAAAGGGAGCATCGACGGCGGCTGCAGCCAGTTGGCAGAAGAGTGGAGACGGTAACTGAAGAGTGTGCTTCCACGGCTGCTGCTGCTGAAGCTGCCACAACTGATGCTGAGGCTGCCTGCTTGTGCCGAACCAGTCTGCAGAGTGAGAGATAGAGAGAGAGAGAGAGAGTTCCCAGTAGAGCGTTGGCCACTCTCGCTCTTTTCCACCGACAAGTTAAAATAGACAGCAGTGGCGGCGGCTGATGAAACATCTGAAGCATTGAGGCAACAGCAGTCTCGATGCTTTGGTAGATGATGATAGTGATCATGATATCCTCGCTCTCCGCAATCAGCATCGAGTGGAGGGAGTGAAGGGAGGAAAGGAATACTACTACTGATTTAATGATACACATGAGTGGCAATATGGTACAGTGCAGTTGAGTGCAGTGGTGCTTTCTCGCAATGTTGTACAACGCACCGACCAAACAACGAGTAGCGATGAAAAAACAAATACATACATAAATGGCAAAAATAAATAAGAAGAAAGGAATGAAATCTCCTGAATAGCAAAGTCTAGAAGGGTGGTGATTAGGTGACATGCCAGCACTTCTGCTTCAACCCGGTGCCCTATGAGACGCACTTGATGCGGTTCAGCAGCGACACCAGTTGAGAGATTTCCTCGCCCCTAAAAAATGAGAAAAGTTAATTACTGCAACCAGGCAATTAATGCAGCAAGCAGTCACACTTACTGGCAAGTGAGCAGCTCTTTGATGGTGTTCAGTTGCGGCATCAAGGCTGCCGACTCCGCTCTACCACCAGCAGCATCATCAGCGTCGCCGCCATTGAACATAGCCGCCGCCGCGGTGCCGTCGTTGACCTTGCGCAACTGCGCCTCTTGGTACCGCTGCTTGCGCTTGATCTGCTCGTACTTTGCCTTGTACGCGGCAATGTTCTCCACCTCGGCGGTCATCTCCTCCTTCAGTGTAATCTCAGCATCGGAGAGCGTCGGCCGCTGGTACTGCAGCTCAGCGATCTTTTTGTCCAGACGGGCGGAGAGGAGGCTCTGCGCGTCCTTCGTCTGCTCGTACTTCTTCATCAGCTTTATGTAGTCGGCGAGGATCTGCTCCTTTTCGCTCTTTAGCGTCTCAATGTCCTTGAACTTATGATATCAAAAAGTTAGAGTCTATGAATGAAAACAGTTCACTAGAAAAATGCGTACCTGTTTTTGACAAATATTCCTCAGCGCCTTCTTCCGCTGCTCAATTGCCTTCGCCGCCAGGCTAAACTTCTCCAGGTACTCTTTCCTGAGGAGGTCAATGGCGGTGATCAGCATCTCCAGCTCCTGTTGCCCAACGGCGGCACTCTTCGTCTTTGCCGACGACTTGATCAGCGGCAGACTACTGTTGCGCTGCAGAATCTTCTCCAGGTGCTGCGGAAAGTTGGAGTTGGCCTTGCCGGCGGCGGCAGTGTTCCCAGCAGAGTGCCTTCCTGGGGAGGCGAGTAGTGAGCTGATGTCACTGGTGGTGCTCTTTACCGGTAGACCACTGCCGCCCTCAACCGCCTCCGGCAGGACCACATTGTTCAGTCGCTTGCAAATGAGCTCGGCAGAGTTGAGCAGGACGGCGATGTGCGTGAAACCGCGAAAGGCGTACAGTGTCACGCCCACGGGAAAGGATGAGGAGGAAGCAGCATTCTTATTGGCCAGCACAGCTCCCTTCTCAATGGTCGGCCTCGTGCAGACGAGGTACTCCACGACCGACTTCTCGTCGTGGAACTCGCGAATGGCCAAGCTGGCGGCGGCGCTGTGCAGCTGCTTAAGAAAGGAGACGAGGACGATGTGCACGCCAAAGGAGTGCTGACAGAGGTACCGCTTCGGGTCACGCCCGTCCGCCAGCAGCACCAGTGAGCTGTTCAGCGCATTGACATTGTACAGCGACTCGTCGGCATTCTCCGCCGAGGTGAGCGGAAAGGAGAGCTCAATGGACTCGAGCACGTACAGTATCGACTCGGGAATGGCCACCTGCAGGCCTGAGGCGGTGCTGAAGGCGTACACGGCGTCCTCCTCCGGGCGGTACACCGTCGACTGGTCATCGTCACTCTGCTGCAGCAGCTCCTCATCGCTGTCCCCCTCAATGGCGATGCAGTGGTACAGCAGACCGGTGCTGGTGCCAATCACCACCACTGGCGGGACGCAGTCTGCAATGCAAAAAAAGAGATTTTAAAGTCAACTTATCAATTCATCATAAAGATCGATCTCTTACTGAGACAGAGAATGGAGCAGGCATCAGTGCCGTAGTTGTCCTCGGCGGCGGGCGTCATCTTCAACGGGCCAAAGATGTAGTTGGAAATGCTCAGGTCCTTTAGGCTGAGGAAGAAGAGCAGAACGTCGCCATTGCCACGCAGGACAAACACCGGCAAAATGTCCAGTGCCTCGACGAGCACGTCCAGCGCATGAAAGCGCCCCAGAGATGGGCCAAAGTCAAAGGCGACCGCTCCCTCACCCAGTGAGTGTGTGTAGGCGGACACGCGGTTAAAGTGCTGCTCGGAAGGATGCCTCCTCGCCAGTGATATCGTCTCTACCGGCTCGTACTCGTCTTCAATGTCAAATAGTCTGCAGGGAAAATGAAGGTAAATGTCATGAAAAAGTCACGAAAATCCCGCAAAAAACTTACCGGAGATAGTCGTCATTGGTGAGAATGAGAAGGTGCTTCCGAGAGATAGGGTGCCAGCGTAAACAGAGCAACTTGAGCATCGAACTGCAAAGGAACATTCGTTCGCCAATCGAGGTCGACCTGACACAACGGATAAACAAAAGTTCAACAATTAGTTAGGTGCAACTATTTAAGTCAGTCAGTCGGTAAATAGCAGCAACAACTAAGCAGGTAAATAAAGCGAAGGAAAGTGCAGTGATAACGAAGCGATATCGGTAAAGCTGCTGCTGCAAACCCATTAGCCAGTGGTAATTAGCAATGAACGCAAGATGAAGGTGATAACAAACGAACAGAATTTAAATAGGACTTCCGAAAAAGTTGGCATGGTACAAGTAATAGCCGGTGCAAGCAAACACTGCTGCTGAGCCGTTAATGTTCTCCTCTGCCATCACTTTCCTCCCCCTTCGGTTCGGGCACATGGCCGGTGGCATATCGGCAGGCACATAATTACGATAAAAGCATATGGACATTATCGGAGGACGCGCCGCGCGGACTGCAAACACAATGGCAGCAGTGTGTAATAACCGCCGCCACCGCTGTCTAAATAATAATAACGCGCGGGCAGTGGCGCGTGGTTTTAAAGTGAAGAACGCAGAATGCTGCTGCTGCTGCTGCTACGGATTCTATATGGCCACGGGACTAGTCAANCCTCTGCCATCACTTTCCTCCCCCTTCGGTTCGGGCACATGGCCGGTGGCATATCGGCAGGCACATAATTACGATAAAAGCATATGGACATTATCGGAGGACGCGCCGCGCGGACTGCAAACACAATGGCAGCAGTGTGTAATAACCGCCGCCACCGCTGTCTAAATAATAATAACGCGCGGGCAGTGGCGCGTGGTTTTAAAGTGAAGAACGCAGAATGCTGCTGCTGCTGCTGCTACGGATTCTATATGGCCACGGGACTAGTCAAACACACACACACACACATTCACTAATCATCGCACTGCAATCGTTATGATCAGCACGATATTATCGAATGGATTTCAATGATCTGTGTCGCAGTTCTGTTCTGTTGGCAGTTCTGCTTCGTGAGGCGAAGTAATCGAATCGGTGAGTGAGTAGTTCTGCCGCCACTGCCGACGTCGCTCCACTGACCGGCTCATAAATTACCAGACCAGGAGAACCACTGGGGCCAAGCCAACAAGTGCAAGTAGTGCCACTCTAGACAAGAAATAGCAGTCCTGAACGGGCAAATCGAATCCGTGGACTCGGCGGTAGCTCGTTCGCACTGAGGCAATATCATAAACGGGGCACTAATCAGCCCAATTGGATGGTCGGCAATTGAAGCCAATCTGCCGCTGGAGAAGCTGGCGATTGACTGCCGTTACGTTTGTGTACCTGCTGCTGCTGCTGTGTCTGGGAGAGTGCATATATAACAATTGCAATTGCAATTGATTTCCACCTCTCCTGTCTGTGTGTAAATTGTGAATTGTGAATGCAAGTGTGTGTGTGTGTGCAATGCAATGCTCCTTTGCCAAATATATGGCTGGCCAATGACTTGCAGAGAGTATTCTGTGTGTGTGTGTGCGTCTGCAAATACATAAAGCCTTTATTAATTATTAACATTTGATAAGGCATCATAATCGAAATTGACCAGACCATGCTCTCATGACCATTATTGACGATCGCCAGCCGTTCGAAAGGGGCGCACTTATTGGAAGTGGTAGTAGTGGGAAGCTACCGAAAGGCAATTTTATGTTCGCTATCTCTCGATGATCAGCGGCATTGTAACGAGCAGTGCAGCGAAAAGCCTAGCCGTGAAGTTAATCGCTAAAACAGATAGTGCCAGAAAACAGAGGCAACTCACACAATTGCCCACACAAAACAAAATAACTTTCAATTGAAAAAACCCGCACACACAAACTTACTTTGCAGTGAACGATGTTTCAGAGTTCGATTCGTTGCTGCTGTTGGACAGTTGTGTCCAGTTCCTTGGCAGCTCCACCACCATCAGTCCATTGGTGCCATACAGTGCCAGGCTGTCCGCATGAGGACTGAGGCTGAGCGTGTTGACGGTGAACACGGGAGGGTTAGTCAGCGTGATGACCTGAAGAGAGAAAGGGGAAAATGGGTGAAATTGTCAGTCAGTCAGTTGTAAGGAGGGGGGAAAGCCTGTACCAGAGAGTGGTACGCTTAATTGGAGCACAATGGGCGACTAGACTGGCTCTCTGGCTCACTTAATGAGACAGAGACACTGCCGATGCTGCAGAGAGTGTAATCAGCGAAATAAAATCGAGAATCGCATGTACAAATGCAAATTCATTAGCACATCGACGAGCAGCAGCAGCAGTGGAAGGGCACAGCACCGAACGGAATCGATAATCGACACAAGTCATTTGGAATCAATCTGCTCACTGTCATTAGTGAGTGAGTGAGAAAGTACACAGAACCAGACACTGCTAAACCAAACTCTACCCTGCTCCTACTCGGTACTTCCTTTGCTGCCCTTTTCACTTTAGCACTTCCTCCCCTCTCCTCAACGACCCGAGCATTTTAATGCAAACACAACGAGCGATTTCCATTCTGATTGCGTTATTCCACTTCACTCGACACTCAACAGCGAAAAAGGCAAAGAGAAGAGTCATTCCAATAAATCAAACACGCAACTGTATTGAATTGAGCAAATAATCGATTGAAGCCATCAGAGAAGCGGCGGCAGCAGAAGTGATATTTGCAGTAAAAGGAACACACACACACATTCACACACTCACACAACGAGACACACAAGCAGGCAATGAGCAGTGGTGAAGTTTCAAATTAGTGCGAGCAATATGCAAACATATTGATTAATGGCAGAGTAGAGAAAGCTGCTGCCGCCGTCACTGCCGCCTGAACGCAGTGTGATAGCAAAAGGAAAACCATAAAATTCAAATTTAAAGTGACAACACAACACAGAGAAAAGAGTGCAGCACCAGTGAAAGAGTGAATTAATAGATTCAGAGTCCATTTGTATGCGGCAATCGAATAATGACAGGCCGTGATGATTGGCCCCTGCACTAAATGTCTAAAAGAGTTGAAAAAGCTCAAGAGATGCAGAGCAGCGCAGGAAATGGCGCTAATTGTTTGAATCGAGACGGATTTGAGATAAATGGCCCACAATTGAAGGAGGCGAAAATGACATCACACATTCACACAGCATCGCCAGACACACACAGTAGTTGCTGAGAAAACGGCGATCAAGTTTCAGTGCCATTTTCCATTTGCCAGCTAATGCATTTTCGAATATTCAATTTCACAGCAACATTGCTATCAATTGGCCACCAAGTTGAGGGTAACACTGTGTCTTTCTTTTTCTTTCTGTCTGTCTGTCTGTAGATCAGTTCTCAGTGCCAAAAAGTATCAAATTTGAATGCCATCAATAAAGCCAACGCGGCCATAAATACAGGCAGACATTTGCAATCGCCAAAGTGCCAACTCTGGAACCCCTTTCCCCTACTTTCGCCCTCATCAAGAGAAGGTCGTTACCAGTATTTACAAGTACAGGGTAATTAGCTGGCAGGGACATGCACAAACTGCCCAGTGACTTTGATCAGCGAAGAGATGACCAACAACAGCACTCGGGAAAGCTAGAGCCATTATTACTGCTATGGGAAATACAATAAAAGTAGTCGGACATAGCCATCAAGTAGCCATTAGCATTCACTCAACATCAAAATCGACTGAACAGTCCAAGACAGTGCGCGCGCCATTAGCTCCACTGTAATCTACTCTAATCAGCTATTTGCAAATTAAAAAAAGTGAATGAGTTATTCGCCAATGAGCACAGGCTGACACTGATTCTCGATCGAACCACTGAAGAACTGCAGCACTGTACAGTGCCGTACTGAGCTCTCGAATGCAGACTCTCTGCTACTACTACTGCTAAGCTCATTGTCCTGTCTGTCTGTGAATTATGAGCCCTTATTAGACACCAGAGCACACTGGTAAGAGCACACTGCTAAAAGGCAAGCTGCTGGCTCGCAAGGGAATCTGTTCTGTCTGGCGCCCGGACTCACACAAAGAAGACAGAGATGTCTGCCTGTGTGTGAATCACATTCGAGTGCCGAGTTGTCGAGTATGAGAGTCATCCCCCAGTCGCATTCACCACCACAGCAGATGAGATTGATTTTTGCAATTATAATTTGCCTTGACAATCATCAGCCACACATCGACGGCCATTATTAGCGGCAGAATGCAAACATCAGCAGCGCCAGCCAAACTGAATCTGGCACGAAGGGGGAGAGAAAAGGATGGCTGCGGCCTCATCGTCGGCAATCATTAGGCAATTCTACTAATTGATTAGAGCGAGATTGCCATTATATGAGAGTTAATAAATTATTGATTAATTGCCAGAGAGAGAGCTGCAGAAGAAGGAGAAGGAAGGGATCGACTGGAGGGAAAGGGAGAATGCAAATTAGTGCACTGTGATATATGGACTGGGCTGCGGTGCCAGTCTCTCTGGCCGCACTCTCTGTGCTCCCAGTCTCTGTCCCTCTGTCTCTGCTGTCTCTGCTGTGCTCATCATCACTATTGAATGGTAAATAGAGAAAGAGAGGATGGAGACAAAGGATGAGATCAAAAGTGGCTAATTGATTTGACTTAATGTAGCGTTAATTGTAGATTAGCAGACTGCTGAGTGCAGCATTTCGGCGCCAATATATCACCAACACCACAACCGCCATTTTTCGACGCCAGAATTTGGCTGCCAGAGAAAGAATGCACAGAGAAAGAGAGAATGTAGTGTGCTGGTTCTCGGTCCTCTCGTAGTCTGGCGCTCGGTGGTAATGGCCACATTAATGGTGATCACTCCTATAGTAATAAAATTAATATAAATTTATGCAAATTGCGATCGGCTTCAGCAAATGGCCATCATTAGAAATTACTTGCAAGCAATAACTAAGCAATACAGGGCCGG